AAAGAATGTGATATGGGAAAATGTCTGGCTTTCCTTGAAATTCACATTTGCTCTTTGACCCATGGGTACTTGTGCCAATGTGGCGTAGTGGCTAACTTGTCAAGCTTACATGCTGTACTGTCATGGTTCGAATCCTGCTGGTGGTGTTGATAAGACCTAAGCCAGGTCGAAACTGCAGTCAACTCTGGATGTGAAAACTTTTTGGGAAGCAGAGCTATGCAAAATTCAATGGAACGGTAGGGTCTACTCATTTCATTGTGGGAAAATTCAACTACCAGTCCTTCAACACCTTAAACGAAATAGTGTGAACACATTTTATATATTATTATTTTTAGCGCTCATTTACCAGTGATCCAAAGACCAGTTCATAATTCTATTTCAACTTTATCACCTATTCGCACGCTTATATATACCTAATGGTTTTACATTTGCCTTTATCAGGTGTCCTTTTCTGTCAGCTATGCCCAAGCAACTTCTACCGCCGCTGCGTTTGACTTCAGCCTTTCCGTGTCAATGGGCGTGATTTCGGCCCTAGCCGCTTTTTATGCCATGCTCAGAACCTGGCTTTGGTCAAGGCGTGCCGGTGTCCTTCGTTTGGACGCGATGCTCATTATTAAACTGCTGGCGTTTGCGGCTGGTGCTATTGCCAATTGTTTCCTTATTGTCCTTTATGGCATCTGCTTATACTTCCTACTGTTTTATAAGGTCAGTAAGTGATTTAATTGAACTCATATAAATGATAGAAGACCCGATATTTTGGTATCACACAATGAATAAATGAAGGGTCTACTCATGCCACTTAATTCCAATGAATATAAATCACATTTTTTGAAGACTTTCATTTCTTATGAAAGTGAATGGTGAATAGATTCGTTAGTTGATCTCATCAGACAGCCGATTCCCGTTCTGTTGTCGTGTGGTGTAGTCTATATATCCTACGCAGTCTAAGCTGTCCATACTGGTTGTGAATAGTACTGGACATCATCAGAGTTAAGATTTATTCTGGCAATAGTCTCAAGTAACGGGTGGTTTCCTAGTCCGTTTATCACGCGTCCAAGCTTATATCTCATCTCAAGCAGAGTTGCTCATGGGCTTCGGTCATGCTTTTCCTTTGGTCATCAAGACTTAACCCAAGCCAGATCTTAGGCTTTTGTAGGTACTCTTATTTAGTACCGTTATTACGTACGGATGTTATCCCATACATTCAACTAAAAGCACCATAACTAATATGAAAGAGAACTAGCCAAACACATGCATATCTATCTACTTATATCTATATATTTTCGTTTTCTAGTTATGAGTATAGATTACCTGTAGGGTAAAACCGGAATGTTAAATTAAGACTTCTGTTAGGATGAGTTCCTGCCCTGTTTGTATCCGTCACATAACGGGCGAATGTTCAGCCTGCCTTTACCTGAAAAGAGGAAGGATGTCTGATGGACTGCGTCAATCTGAACGTCGTAGCAAAGCCAAACAGCAGGAGAAAAACGGGAATCAGTCGTTATTTTCTGATGGGATCAAATATCGAATCACTTCATACGAAATGAAAGTCTCCGCAACAATGTTATCCTGAGAGATT